GTGCCAGAGAACTCTCATTGCTCGAGCGCTATCTTGAGACAGGCCTCTTACCCTCAGAGGATTCGCATAACCCTGGCGGTACTCGAAATCTGGCAAGTTATCTTGTATACACACTCCATGCTTTCTCTAATCTATATCCCTAGGATTCAGCGAGTTCGGAAGGAACAAATGAACCTTCGCGCGTGCAACAGACTCCTCGACACAATCCCACTTCCACTCTGCCGCGCCCCGAGAACATATCAAACCCAGCTATTCGCTCGTTTGTACAGGCGCCAGACGCTCACGAACTCCCGGTTCCAAGCACGACTGTGCTCCCTTCAGCCGGTCAGGCTCTGCCGTCAGCACGGCCGTCCAGGGTGCGGGGACACCGAATGCCACGTGCACCTGCATTTTCTTCTAGTGGCCAGCCGGCGCTGCCAGTTCAATCGCAGAGCACGCCCGCTCATCCGATCCCACGCACAACCATACCCCCTCCAGGCAACCAGCCATTTGTCAATATACCCTTTCACGGATACGCTTCGCCTCGTATGCCACCCGAACAGACGCGCATGCCGGTCGAACAGACGCTTCCCGTGCATATTCGGTCGAGAGCGCTGCCTCCCCCTCCGCCTCCCCCTCCGCCTCCCCCTCCGCTTGCCTACGTCCATCCGGCCCCGGCGGGTCAGCCGCAGTACATGCTTCCGCAGGGACTTCCATCGCATTACGCCGCGTATGCGCATGTAGATCCCAGGTCAAATGCACCACCTGAACCCGTCTTCGTCCCAGCGAACCCGTATGGTGACGGACGGGGCATAACATATTTGCCTAGCGGAGGGCAGGGCGCAGCATTTTTGCCCCAGCCTCTGTATGAACAAGATGGTAATCGGGTTTGGGGTGGGTTTGACCGGCATAATAACCCAGGTTTCACCCGTGAAAATGCAGTAACGGGCTGGCCTCGGGGTTGGGCTCAGCCAGTTACTCAACCCTCGGTGCCGTAGTGGTGCAGTAGGTTCCGACTTGAGAGTCGACAATTCTGTGCGAGGACGGCAGGATTGTAGGTCGCGGAGGTTGACTCTGCGCTCAAATCTTCGTTGTCTCCCAATTTCTACGCTTGCTGCTTGCCTTTTGCCGGTGTGGTTGATTCCAGATTGTACTCAGCTAAGACGTATACGCTACTGGCCGCATCTGAACGATTCTACTGTAATGCGGACCTAACATTCTTCGCCTGATCCGACCTATGATCATGTATCATATGTATATATATATATACATGCACGAGAGCGTGGTAGAGCTGGCAGGATAGCGTGTAATGATAACTATGGCATCTTTTCAATATTACATCTAGGCTAAACATTGTCGGGAAGCCCACGCGCTTGACCAGGATTGTGGTGCATAACGTTGTGGCCGAGTCCTCGAAGCGCAGGTACTGCGTTCGGTCTGGCTTAGCTTGCAGCGAGGTAGGCGTACCGTATAAGCCGTGCAAGAATGTGAGCACCCGACAGTAGGAGTTGGGTGCTCCGGTCCGCACAGAGTGTATATGGGGTCTTCAAGCCCATGCACTGCTACGAGGAGGCCGTGTGACATGAAGTACAGCGAGGTGGAGCGTTCGTGCATCGTGACTTCATCGGACAGTGGGTTCGAGATGGTGAAAGGGCCGGAACATGTAAAGAATGTCCGAGATGAGTATCGTAAGAACGGGGAGTTGTGAAGGCTCGGGTGGAAATGTCCTTCTTATCGCCGTACGTGTAGCGGGAGTGACGAGTGCAGCGCGCGAGCGTTGCCCATCCCCAGAGACACTCGGTCCCGCAGTGCCGGTATAGTGGCGCTGATGCGCGGTGCCGAGACCTGGCAATGAGTATATGTGAACGTGAGCAGAAGACGGGTGGTGGTCGAGAGACGAGGAATACGCCGACACGCGCGCGGAGGACTGGCGGCGTGGGGCGGCAGCCTTCTCACGCGTTAAACCGTAACGTAGCCGCGCCAATCTGGCAGTTGAGGCCGAGGCGGCAACCCGGTGAACAAACACGTGGACCCGCGCGTCTAGATGATAGATCTGAGCGTGACCAGCACTTTAGTGATGCCGAGTGCTCTCTATCCGGATCGCCGCAGTGTGCCAGTAGCGCAACAACAATTATGCTCCCTCCCACATCTCTCTCGTTGTTCGACATCCTAGCGCTCTACGCCAGGCGAATAGACGGGCTCTAGGCCTCTCACCTGGCTAGAGGCATCTCCTACACGCAGCAGTTTGTGCCAGCGTAGATCGGATTCGGCGCCAGCCTTAATTACTTCAGCATTTGGCGCATTCGCGTAGATCTGCGCCCCCGACCAACCCCCGACGCGTCGTGCAGGTCCATCAGGTGGCCGCGCCAATCCACCCTTCCAGTGTACCACCTCCAGCTTCTTTCCCCCCTCCCCTGATGGGCGTCGGCGAGCAGGACCCATCCGCCACTCGTTCCTGCGTTTTGCGCGGCAACTCAGAGAGCGCGGCACTATCACCCACAATGAACCCTGCTAACAGCGGCCCGCGCCTTGTAATAACGCCACCAGTGGCTTAGACTCCAACCACCACCAAGGCGCACGGGCCGTCAGCGCACAAGCCGGATCACCTTTCGTAGCAAAATTTATAATCTTCGCCATGCCACTCGAGTATCACCGGCGTATACGTCAGCAAGCTCATGAGGGCCCCATAGTCGCTTTGTCTGTCAACGCCGACGGATGTCATCTGGCTTCTGGCAGTCTTGACATGGCCCTGCGGGTGTGGTCACTGCTTGGGGGGCATCTTGTCGCGACGTTCTTGCTGAAATCTTGCGTTACTGCTCTGCTTTGGTCACACTATGAGCCTCATACCCTTCTTGTCGGATCTGGCGAAGGGAATGTGCAAAGTTTCGTGTTCGACCGTGTGCGTATCTCTCCCTAAACCCCGTGAGGCGCTCGACATTCCGCTCTATCTCATCGAAGCCGCTTCCAGATACGCGGAACTATAAGCGCCCGCGGTGGGGTTCTCGTCGCACATCAAGGTCAGGCCATTCAGCATATGGCTGTCAGTGGAAAGAGTCGACTCGTGGCAACCGCCAGTGCTTCCGCGGTCATCGTATGGCGTTATCGACTACCTACGCCAGGTGAGTGCTCCTATATATTTCACCAAACTGAAGCGAGCTGGGTATTTGAAGCGACTTGGAACAGTATGATTCGGCTTCCCTCAGTCTCACATCACTTCCCTGGAGGAGGAGAAGAGCTGGTGAGCTCAGTTCGTTGGTTAGACAGAGAGGAGCGTCGTGCGATCAAAACGTACGTACACGCCGACTTGTTGCTGTGCTCGTATATGTGGCATGGGGTTGTGTAAGTGCAGCGTCAGTTCACTAGCCTGACTGCACGACGCTTACGCTTCTGGCAGTTGTTGGGACCTTGATCCCCTGTCTTCTCTCTGGCGCATACCAGCGACCGGATGGTAAGTATCTGATGCTTTGGTCGCGAGTGTAATAGTGACGCTCAACAGTGGATATATGGCACTTTCGCCAGATCACCGCTTCCTCGCGATTCAAGAAATCCGGACTGGCATTCAAATATACGATACCACGGGTCAAGAATGCATATTGTCCCTGCAACTTGATAAGGGCGTTGCGGCTGTGTCCTTGCCAGTCACGTATGCTCACGAAGGACACGCTCTCGTCACTGGTAGTTTCACCGGCAAAGTACGTGTATGGAACGTTGATGGAAAGAGGCCACTGCAACAGCAGAAGCTTGTGCATGGTACGCATGGATGCAGATACCAGCAATCACAGGATGCTGATTGTATATCCTGTAGAAGAGCCCCACGTCATGGCTTTGGCGGTACGTTCGGCCATCCAAGATGCCAATGTTGATGACGATTACCAGCGCGTCTGTCAAGGTACATGCTGATGCCACAGGCCGTGTACAGATCATGTCTGGTACATATGATGGATATCTTTACCTGTGGGAAGCGCTCCCCACACGCCCGTCTGCATTTCATATCAATAATTGTACGTCTTGATGTCACATAAAACACGCCCTAGGGTACTCATTGATCTCGAAGACCAGACCCAGTTACTTATTGCTATCATAATTTTGACTTGCTCATATGGAATGCTCTCCTTCATTGTTCATGTATCATAAATACACGGCCTCGCTGGTGTGAACACACAATCGACCTATTTTGCTTGTCCGCAAATGTTATGCGTCGCGATGCAGAGCCTCACCGCTTTCCAATCCTTGCTATGGGCTCGCGGGTGCGCATCCGCGCTCTGGCGGCTTTAGGCAAGGACCTGAAGCCCAGTGGTGCATCTCCGCAAGAAGCTCGAAGCGGCGGAAACGCACAAGTGTCCGACTTGGGTTAAGGTTGGCTAGTGGCGGTGCGTCGCACGCCGTCGTGCCT